TGTGCAATCCTCATTGACAAAGTTATGTCAGCTCAGAATATTGAGAGAGAGGACATTGGCTGTAGCTGTGTGTCAGGTTACAGATCTCAGCAGCTAACATTGCACATAGGGATTATGGCAAACAGGATAGCAATAAATTTTTTTCAATTGTATTACTCTTTTAAGAGTCATATTTATCTTCTTAAAAAGTCAATTATTAGCTTCAGTTTTTAAGTTTGATTTCTTTAAATGCATCATTGCTCTCATGTCTTGTTTCTAGTTTCATTGTTTCTCCAATGTTTTCCATTCATTAAGAATTTCTTTCCATTTTTAACAAGTGCTGATGATCATTTATTTGTTTTAATCAATGTCTCTGGAATCCAAGGCTTACTGCACACTATGTAACTGAGAATTGCTTTGAACACCCAGACTTGCCTCTATTGCTCAGTGCTTGAAAGACAGTCCTGTAATGCTTTCCAGGCCGGGCTTTGACTGGTCAGTAAGAAGGAATATTAGACCAGTCAATGTCCTCCAATCTCTCTGGCTTTAACTGGGCACTTAGAAATGAAGAAGGACCTATGTAAGAACCTAGGCCACTGACCAACATTAAAGCAGGTGTAGTCAGAGCACCAAAGGAAGGAGCAAGGAGGGAGAAAGCTTTCCTGCTTTGGGAGTAGCTAGCAGTAGCATGGAGTAATGAGGCCATCAATTTTAGATAATTCATAATTGTCTCAACTGGCAGGTTCTAAGCCCACAGATTGATTCAAGAACCGGAATAAAGAACTGAATTTTTTGTGAAACTAAATGACTGGAGTCACACTAGCTCAGCTGATGAAAACCCAGACAGTTGGGTTCTGTGAGGGATTTTCTTTATTTCAGCTTTTAAAGTGGAAAAACCCTGAAAGACTGTCCTCTGGCAGTCAGCTAGCTGCATTAGGTTCTGAATAGAAAACTTGTGTTTATTTTGTTTCTGGGAATGTTTGTTGTCCTTTAATGGGCATGCTGTTAAGTTGAATGCTCTGAGAAGGACCATCTGCCCCTCACTTTTGAGGACCACCCTGGAGAGCACTGAGCATCCAGTCTTCTTTCTTTCTTTCTTTCTTTCTTTCTTTCTTTCTTTCTTTCTTTCTTTCTTTCTTTCTTTCTTTCTTTCAATTTTTTATTTAACTTTTATTAATTATACTTTATTAATTTTGTATCCCCCCCATAAGCCCCTCCCTCCTCCCTTCCTGATTCCAGATCCCACCCTCCCTCCACTTTCTGCATGCATGCCACTCCCCAAGTCCACTGATAGGGGAGGTCCTCCTCTCCTTCTTTCTGATCTTAGTCTATCAGTTCTCATCAGGAGTGGCTGCATTGTCATCTTCTGTGGCCTGGTAAGGCTGCTCCCCACTCAGGGGGAGGTGATCAAAGAGCAGGCCAATCAGATTACGTCAGTCCCTCTTCCCATTACTATGTAACCCACTTGGACACTGAACTGCCATGGGCTACATCTGTGCAGGGGTTCTAGGTTATCTCCATGAATAGTCCTTGGTTGGAGTATGAGTCTCTGGGAAGTTCCCTGTGTTCAAATTTTCTTGTTCTGTTGCTCTCCTTATGGAGTTCCTCTCCAGCTCTTACTATTTCCCACTTCCTACATAAAATTCCATTCACTCTGCCCGACAGTTGGCCATCAGGCTCAGCATCTGTTTTGATAGTCTGCAGGGCAGAGGCTTTCAGAGGCCCTCTGTGGCAGGTTCCTAGGTTGTTTCCTGTTTTCTTCTTCTGGCTTTCAGAGGCCCTCTGTAGCAGGTTCCTAGGTTGTTTCCTGTTTTCTTCTTCTTCTGATGTCCATCCTCTTTGCCTTTTGGGATGGGGACTGAGTGTTTTAGTCAGGGTTCTCTCTCTTGTTTCTTTACATGTACAGATTTTAGTGGGTTTATCCTATGTTGTATGTCTATATGAGTGATTATATACCGTATGTATCTTTTTGCTTCTGTGACAACTCACTCAGGATGATCCTTTCCAGGGCCCACCATTTACCTGCAAATTTCACTTTCTTTCTTTCTTAATTACACTTTATTTATTTTCTATCCCTCCCCCCCTGTAGTTTCCCTCCCTCCTCCCCTCCCAATCCCTTCCTTCTTCCTCCTTCTCCATGTTTGCCTCTCCCCAATTCCACTGGTAGGGGAGGTCTTCTTTTTCCTCCTTCTGATCCTAGCTTGTTAGGTCTCATCAGGAAAAAATATAGAATGCTTCACGAATTTGCATGTCATCCTTGCGCAGGGGCCATGCTAATCTTCTTTGTATCGTTCCAATATTAGTACATGTGCTGCTGAGGCGAGCACACATCCAGTCTTCTTAAACTGTGTTTAGCTTGTCCATTGAGTTGCCTTCTGAATTCAGGAGGCTTAGCTAGTATTCTTAAAGCTCCCTTATTTACAAATCCCCAATAACCAGGTGATCTTTCATCCCTAACATTCTCCTAGATACAGATGACCCTTTCCAAAGTCAAGAGTTCTTTACTTTTTACGATGAGATTTCTAATAACTCTAGCAGGCTAATCCTTTTTAACAAAAGTGGTGATGTACACTATAGCAGCTAAGTAGTTCTTTAGAAGCAACAGAGAACAATCTGTGAATTCATTCACATAATTCATACTTTTTGTTTACATTTTAACAAAATATCCAGTTGTTTGCTTATCAAACAAGCTCTGCCTGCCATTAGTGGCTAGTAATCACTGAAGCTGTGTTTGCACTTTATAAACACAATAAGTCTAATTAATTCCATCCTCAGAAATTTGAACTTGCAATGCCTAATGCAGTCTAGGTTGAAATGTGTTTCTTTGCCTTCTCTGTGAATCATTTGCAAACTTCCCTTGGTTCATAAACTAAGGTGAAAGATCTCATCATGAAAATTAAGAAGCCAGCCCAAATGCACACAAATGATGAGGTGGCAAGATTAAACTAGTGCCAGAGGAGTGACCTCCAAGAGCCTTTAGTCTCCACTTTCAATGAAGAGGTGAATGGAAAAAGTAATGCTCTTTTCTCTATTTCTTCTTTAACTTTACTTATAAGTGCTACATTTAGAGTATGTGTATTGAGCAGGGAATATGGACCATCTGTGCATATGCACTGTGCAGAGCTTAAAACAGGTGGAACATTCTGATAAATGCACCATCTTCTATCAGTGACCATTACCATCATCTCTACCATCACCACCACCAACACTGCCACCAACTTCCAAATGTCAAGAGACTTTAGAGCATCTTCCTCCTTTGTCTTTTTGTGAGTTTCATTTCTGCCAATTTACAGAGCTGCCTGTCATGCCTCCTCCCCAGTAGCTTCCTGCTTCCTGACAGTGTGACAATCTTGCTTTCAGAAATCTGTGTCAGTCTTCCATACTTCTGTTGTAGCCAGAATAGTAGTGCTATGCAGACTGGCCTTTGTATTTCAAATATGCCTTTTCCAGTTCCTACAGGGCACCCAGGTGCCCTTCACACTGAATTCTGGGTCTGCAGAGTCTTGGAGCCTACTATGTGAACTACTCTCAGGACATATGTCTATTACTTTGGGGAAAATCTCCCTAACCTCTTTTTCTAGTTGGGGATCATAAGAAGGCTTGACTTGTGAATACAATGAGAATGTTTCAAAGGAAACCATAGGTTAACTGTTCTCTTTGAAGGTGATTGCAGGCTCTCCAGATCTTTCTCTTCATAAAGCAGTTTTAAGGCTTCCATGTTATAGCCTTTCTGGGACAAAGCAAAATGCATCATTGTATTAAATGAAGACATATCTGGTGTCATGGTGGAGGCTCATTTAATTAGTTGTATAGGAACAAACATGGTTATTCTGGGGGAGAGATGAGGGAGTAGACAGAATCTATTTTGTCATCTGTGTGCAGCAGTGGCTACTAATTTTAAAGTACTTAATAGGAACGTTCTCCAGGCCCTACAGAAAACCTACAGCTTTCAGTATCAGTGCAATTAAAGACAATTTAAAGCACATTGCAATACATTCAATATTTTCTTATTCCAGAGAAACCCTGTCTCAAAAAATAAAAAATAGATAAACATAAGGACATTATCTGTGGATTAGTGTCTCTCCCTCTACTCTGCTCTCTATTTTTTTCCTTCTTACAGGGAAAAGACTAGAGCATTGCTGATCCAAAGGCCTATTTTATCAAGCCAATTCTGGCTGTGATGTAGCCATAGAAAACAAAGATCCTAAGACATAGATGGTGCATTCATTTCCATGACTCTGCTGACAGGACACTGAGAAGTCTGAGATTCTCAAACCAGGGGCTTGAGCAGAATAGCAGAAGCCCAGAAGCCATCACTGTGCCCAAGGAGCCTGGGCAGAGTGGATGACATTGAGGCTGAGTGAAGAATAGTATGGGTTCCATTCCCACTTGGAGGGAGCAACTCAGAATATGTTGTTATGCATTTGGAGACTACTGTGTTATGAAAGGCTTTATCAGTTCGATTATGTTGGGAAGGTTTCTCTCCACCATGAGTTCTTTTTTGTATTCTAAGATAAATATGACATGGAAGGCCTTCCCACAGGATTATATATATAGGGTTTCTTTTTTCCTTTATGTGTTCAGACAAAATGCCTTGCAAAGGCTTTACTATATTGAATAATAACTTTCATATGGTTACTGTCTCATATGAATTATTTTGCACCTTTGAAGATGCCATTAATATGCAAAGGCTTTGCCACATTGATAACATTTATAGAGTTTCTCTCCAGTGTCTATTCTTCTATTTATTCGGAGAATACTGTGACAAAGGCTTTACGACCTTGGTTATATTCATAGTGTTAATCTTCAGTATGTATTCTTTATGTATTAAATCAAGGTGACCTGCAAAGGCTTTCCCACATTGGTTACATACATATATTTTCTCTCCAGTATGTGCTCTTCTGTGCATTAGAAAATCACTGTGATGTGCAAAGGCCTCACCACATTGATTGTCAAGATGCTAAGCCTTCATCTTCCAAAGAATCAGAAGGGTTCAGTCTTCTTGGAAATGAGAGACACTCTGCCAGATCACTCCAGTTACTTTATTCAAACATTATACGAAGTTCATTGGGGTTGGGAAAGGTTCAAACTACCAAAGTTATCTTGCCCTTGCTGCCTGTGAGAGGAGACAACCCACAGGTAAGAACTCCACATTTGCCAGGAGCATTTTAGGACCAAGGTCAGTGCAGCTGCAAGTTACTGTGTAGCACCAAGTACAGATTCTCCAGAGAGACAACATTTCTGCAAGGTTCAAATAATCTCAAGACAATTTCTCAGCCTTTACTGACTAATACAAACATAGCAAAGGCTCTGCTGCAGAATATAACTCAAAGACAGAAAGAAAGGTTTTACATTTTAATTTTAAAACATTTTAAAGCCAAACAAAGGTATCACTACACTTTATCACATTGATTTACATTTAGAAGGTATTTCCATATTATAAATTTTATGCCTTTGAGGACTATTGTTATGTGAAAAGGCTTTGTCACACTGATTACATTTGTAAGGTTTCTCCCCAGTATATATTCTTTTATGTATATGGAGACTACTGTGACATGTAGTATTATGACCAGCAAAGTCTTTAACATATTGATTATATACTAAAGATGTTACATTTGTACAAATTTTTTGCGATATAAAAGTAACTTGATATGCAAAGACATTACCACATGGATAACATTCATAGCGTTGTTTTTTCTCCAATATGAATTCTTTCATGCCTTTGAATAAGATTGTAATATGAAAAAGCATTTACCACATTTATTACATTCATAGGCTTTCTCTCCAGTATGTATGTGTTCTTTTATGTATTAGGAGATACCTCTGACGTGTAAAGGCTTTAGAACATTGGTCACATTCATAGGGTTTCTCTCCAGTATGTGTTCTTTTATGTATCAGGAGATAACTCTGACATATAAAGGCTTTAGCACACTGATCACATTCATAGGGTTTCTCTCCAGTATGTGATCTTTTATGTACCAGGAGAGAACTATGACGTGTAAAGGCTTTAGTACACTGATCACATTCATAGGGCTTCTCTCCAGTATGTATTCTTTTATGTATTTGGAGATTACTGTAACTTGCAAATGATTTACCACATTGATTACATGAATATGGTTTCTCTCCATTATGAATATTTTCATGCCTTTTAAGATGACTGTGACGTGCAAAGGCTTTACCACACTGATTACATGCATGAAGTTTCTCTCCAGTATGTAATTTTTTATGATGTTGGAGACTACTGTGATATGCAAAAGCTTTACCACATTGACTACATTCATAAGGTTTCTCTCCAGTATGTGTTCTTTTATGTATCAGGAGATAACTGTGACATGAAAAGGCTTTAACACATTGATCACATTCATAGTGTTTTTCGGCAGTATGTGTTCTTTTATGTGTTAAGAGAAAACTGTGACATGCAAAGGCTTTCCCACATTGGGTACATTGATAGGGTTTCTCTCCAGTATGAATTCTTTCATGAATTTGAAGACGACTGTGACGTGCAAAGGCTTTACCACACTGATTACATACATAAGGCTTCTCTCCAGTATGAATTCTTTCATGACTTTGAAGTCGACTGTGATGTGCAAAGGCTTTCCCACACTGATTACATTCATAAGATTTCTCTCCAGTATGTGTTCTTTTATGCATTTGGAGACGACTGTCTTGTGAAAAGGCTTTATCACATTGATTACATTTGAAGGGTTTCTCTACATTATGAACACGTTTATGCTTTTTAAGACTACAGTACCATGAAAAGGCTTTTCCACATTGATTACACTCATAGGGTTTCTCTCCAGTATGAACTCTTTTATGACACTGAAGATAATAGTGCCGTGCAAAGGCTTTTCCACACTGATTACATTCATATGTTTTCTCTCCAGTGTGTGTTCTTTCATGACACTGAAGATAATAGTGACATCCAAAGGCTTTCCCACACTGATTACATTCATAAGTTTTCTCTCTAGTATGTGTTCTTTTATTCATTTGGAGATGATGGTGTTGTGAAAAGGCTTTATCATATTGATTACATTTGTAGGGTTTCTCATTAGTATGATTTCGTTCATGCCTGTAAAGATAATGGAAACATGTGAAAGCTTTATCACATTTATTACACTGAGGAATCTTTTTATCTGTATGAATTAATTTTACAATTTGGTCTAATTGTAAAGAGGAATCAGATATGAAGGTTTTATCACTTAGTTTACACTCAGGGTGTTCCCCTTCACTATGGGCTGTTTTTCATCTTTGAAGATACAAGGGATAGCAAGAGCATTTATTACATGGCTCACACTTATAGCATCCTAATTGTATATGAGGTGATTAACATATTTGAAGAGAATGAGAATTTAGAGTTTTATGACACTGAATGCATTTATAAATTTTCCATCAAAGTGAGTCAAACTACATTTGAAAAATAAACCAGAACAAACAGAAGAATTTCCACATTCCTAGTACACATTTCTGCAGTGTGAGGTTACAGACATATTCCCAATGAAGTTCAAAAAACAATTAATTATAAATTAGTATCACATTGAAAATGTCTACCATTACTGGGAATTACCACGTATCTTCTAATTTCTATGGGAGAGACAGAGGTACATTGCTTTTTTATAATCACTTATACATACATGCCTTTTAGCCATTGTGACATATGATATAACAATGAAAGGAAGAATAACAAATCACATGGCAGTTACACAGTTTGACCTTTGCTTCTCATAGACATGTGATGTAAGCTTTAAGTGTTCTCTACAACAATCTGCTTGACTTCTATAAACCACCCCTCTCATGAAACTTAGCAATATTCTTACAAGTACATGAGTATCACCAGCTCTACAATGGACTATGTTCTTATTAGAAGGTTTTAGACATAGACTTAACAATTATTCAATGTGTACAACCTTTTGTAATATCTGAGTGGTACAAGACTAAGTGGATTGTCAGATCTATAGTGTAGCTCTAACGGTGCTATGATTCAAATGGTGATATCTGTAAAGACATTGTTACCATGTATTGTTTCTTAAAGGAAAACCTTGCAAACTCAAATCAGATACCTGACATTGAGGTACATGGTTTTGTGAGAATTCAATAATCACCAATACACGTAGAGCTGTGCTTATTTACACTGTTTCTTTTCCTTAAATCTTCCAGAACACACTAAAATTTCCTCAGAGGCATATTTGTGTCATCTTGCATATGATAATTACCTTCCATGTCTTCTAGAACTTTGACAATATGCTTCAATATTGTTGTCTTCCCAATTATAGCCTAAAATACAGTACAAGAAAAGAAATTAAGCAAAACTTAAGTTACTATTTTCAGTGAACATTAGACTCATTCTTGATTTAGTCACCTCATTCTTCCTCCTTCTGAGTTGAAATTATAGAAGAGAATCAATAACAAAGAAACAGTTGTCCTTTATTATAAAAGGGGAAGGAAAATTCACAGTCCTACCTATAGCAGTGAGGTTCCTGTAAGTCTCCAGCATCACATCTTTGTAGAGACTCTTCTGGGAAGGATCCAGCAAAGCCCACTCTTGCTGTGTGAAATTCACATGCACATCATCATAGGTCACTGAATCCTAAATTATCACAAACATGTACATAACAGAAAGCATGATAGGTACAACATTGGACAATATATTCATATAATTCATTGACAATATATTCATATAATTCTGGTTCTTCCCTAATCATTACCTGACATAGAAATTCTAACAAAATTACTAAGTCATTTTAGAAGGAAACTTAATAATGAGGTTTACCTCTGTCATTTCTGTACCCTTTGAATAGGATATTGCCTTGCAAGAGAAATGCTAAACAACAAACATAAAAGAGACAGTCAAACAGATAAATAGTATTGAGCACACATCAGCGAAATTGTCTGAACACCTACTAATCACAAAAAGCAATGAGCAAGCTGGTCTATTGGCTCATGCCTTTCATCCCTGCACTCAGAGGCAGAAGTATCTCATTGAGATAGATGTCACCCTGGTTTATGCAACGAATTCAAGAACAGCTAGAGGTACATATTAAAACAAAAAGAGGAGCTCCACAAGAAGAGCACAGGGGTCTTTTCTGAGACTGATACAACAACCAAGGATCATTCATGGAAATAACCTAGAACCTCTGCACAGATGTAGCCCATGACATCTCAGTCTCCAACTGGGTTCCCTATCAAGGCAAACAGTGTCTGTCTCCAACACGAACTCAGTGGCTGGCTTTTTGATCACCTCCTCATAAGGGGAGAGCAGCCTTACCAGGCCACAGAGGAAGACAATGCAGCCAGTCCTGATGAGACCTATCAAGCTAGGGTTAGAGGAAGGGGAGGAGGACTTGGGGGGGGGCATGGCAGGAGATGAGGGAGGGAAGGTGGGATTGGGATGGTATAAGGGAGGGGGCTACAGCTGTAATACAAACTGAATAAACCCTAATTAATAAAATATAAATAAATTAAAAAATATTCAGAAGTACAAACGAATAAGTAAATAAAACCCTTTCTCTCCACCAAAAATCAACCAATCAAACAAAAAAGATAGAAACAACTCAGATGGTTTTTTTTTCTTAAGTTCCTAAGAAGAAATATACATCTACTCCACTTCTGTATTCATCCTCCAGAAATCTGAGGTGCCCAGTTTAAACATTAACATTAATAAGATCTTACTAAAAGGAAATGCATGTTTAAACTGTTATAAATGGACAGATGAAATTGTAAATGCTGGTGCTAATTAACAACATAGTGCAGGAGATACAGCTCAACAGTGAAGAGCTCTTGCTGGACCTGAAAATAAAAATGCTCAACTGCCAGTACTTACATGGCTGATGACAACTATCCATTACTCCATCAAGTTAAGGAGTTATGAGGGAATTGTATGCTATTGTGAGTACTAGTCACACATGAGGTGCATATCATAAATATAGGTAAAATACTTATACTCATTCCAACGTAAATACAAAACAAACCCATAACAGGTAGAAAGAATGTCACATACCTGCAATCTAATGACTCAGAAGGCTCATATAGTATTAATGTCATGAGTACATGCCATCCTGGGAAATAGAATGATACTATCTGCCAAATTTTAAAATTCAAAATGAGGGTGAAGCTCAGCAAAACAACATATACATATACAAATACAAAACCTACTTTCGAGGCGCCACAGCCAAAAACATAAAAGCAAAGACAAAATTCAGGCATGTTGATCCACTTATAGTTTCAGCAATCAAGAGCCAGAGTTAGTTGGATCTTTAAGCTTGAGGTGTGGCTGGTCTATAAGCCTACTTGGAGGACAGTCTAGGCTACATAGAGAAACATAGTCATCAAAAACAGAAAAAACAAAATTCAAAACATAAAAGCATTAGGCTAGCAAAATAGCTTACCACTGAATACTAATTGGTTCTACTGTATCTTATGTGACCTAGGAATAGAGTTTATAATGGTGAAGGCATGACAGCATGAGAAAGAAATCGAATGAACAGTTTTAACCACAATATAGTAAAAACAAAGAACAGGAAATGGATTGAGTCTATAGAAACTCAAATCCCAGCCCCAATGAGGAATTTCATCTAGAAAAGTTTTTGTTTTTGTTTTTTGTTTTTTTTTTTCCTGCAAAAGCTCTCATAAGCTCCCCAAAGAAAGCCACGATGAGTGTTCAAAGACATAATCCTGTCTGGGAGCTTTGTGATTCAACCAACTATATTCTGATTCTTGTCATATAGTCTCATAGTCATCCCAAGGCGAACATGTATTTAGTCTAACTCCCAGCGATCTAGTCGGCAACAGCCCCTACACTGTCCAAGTGTCCAAAGGCTCTTTTGATACTCTAGGAAATTACTGGACTGTCACATATTGTAAAATAACAAAACAAGTTATATTTTCAACAGACAATGGTATGGAATACCTTTTCCAATTGAGTAGAGAGGAATGGGTACATAGTGAGGGAAGATTGGGCCAACACAAGAAACCCAACAGGACAAACACCAAATCCTGAAGTTCTGTCTCAGGCACATGAAGCTTCAGTTTCAAAGGGCTTAGATGACCCTCTCGCTGCAACTTCTCATACATCTATTGGTTGGGTTACTTCCACTCCCTATGTGCAGCATCACATCAACCATTTAAGTAGCAAAACCCAAATACTGATGACTGCAACAAACGAGGTGGGGGGGGGGAGATTTATCAAGAAACGAGAAGAACCAAGCCTTTAGTGGCAAAAAGGAAACTGAAAGTGTTTGTCAACAGAAAGTCCCCAAACAAACAAAAACTCAATAAACTCATAAGACAATGTAGTAAAATTTCAGAAGACAAAAATAGGTAAAGTGCTATTATTTCCTAGGGAAACAACCATACAATTAGATTATAATAATTAGAATCATAAAACGTAGATTGCACCACTTGAAAAAAGATATACAAAAACAGACCTATAAAGATAACACTCGTTTAATTAATAAACTACAAGATTATAATCAAAATCCAAATCAAAAAATCAGTGGTCAGTACACATCCTGAGCACTCTATTCTCTCCTTTTTCTATAATAGAAAATAGATTGGGAGTGGAGGCCTGGCTATTTTACTAAAAGTGGAAAAATTAAGAATTCTAATGTTTTAATTTTAGAGAAAGTAGTTTTGACTACTAAAAGTATCTCATTCTCTTATGATTAAGAAAAAAGATGTCTATTAGCATCACTTAGAAAGCATTTTGTTTCCTATAATTGATGATTGTATTTAAGTCTGCAGCAGACTGAGGAAATGCAAAGTTTTAAAAACCAAAGACAAGATAACAGATATTTTTTTAAAAAAATGTAAGATTTGTATTAAACACCTGAAGCAGTTTATTTGCTCAAATTCCCTTAAAAGTCATAAAAGCAGTTTTGAAAACAAGTCTCCCCACTTTTATGTTTATGGTTGTATGTGAGAGACAGAATGTTGTCCATGTGTGTACAGATGACACAACAGAGAAGAGGGTGTCTGATCCCCTGAATCTCAAGTAGCAGGTGCTTATGAGCCTGCAGACATACGTGCTGGTATCTGAACTTAGGTCTACCCCAAGAAGAATACTTCCTGAGTGACCTGCTTAGCCCACATAGTAATTTTCCTTAGTTTTATACAATTAAAAGTCTTTTACAGATTAACAACAAAAAACGAAATAAAGAACAAAGTAAAAAAAAAAATTCCTGAGAACTTGATCATCAGGATTAAGATGTAGGGTAAGAGACCAGGCATGATGCTTGTGAACCATCCCCACTCTCTGTTATCTGAGATCCAATACTTAGGGCTGCCCCTAGTGCTGTATCTCTCTCTTTCCCTTTCCACACCCACTGTAGATACCACAGAACATCCTGAAGAATATGAGGGGCAGCTTCATTTCCTTCTGTCCACACCTCCTGTGCATCCAATGGACCATCCCCACCCAACCTTCCTTTCCTGCCTCATCTTAGTGTCTTAGCATCTACTTGGGTAGACACCCCTTGCTCAAACACATGCCATGCCCTCCAAAAGACCAGGAAGGCTGTCCACAGGTCTACCACACTATCTGTTACCCAAGACCTAATTTTCACAATTGACCCTAGCACTGGAATAGCACACCAGAGGCAGCATTCCCTCCCCATTGGCCACACCTCCCTAGATCCCTAAGACACCTAATATCATCTGAATACAAATGGAAGAAAGAATCTCAATCATTAAAGATACAATAGAAGGAATGGATACATCACGTAAGGAAAATGTTAAATCTAAAAATTTCATGGTACAAAACATCCTGGAACTCTGGACCCTTATGAGAAGCCCAATTAGAATAGAGGAAGGAGAATACCAGCTCAAAGGTCCAGAAAATATTTACAACAAAATCACAGAAGAGAATTTCCCTAACTTAAAGAAGGAGATGCCTATCAAGGTACAAGAAGCATACAAAATTACCAAATAATAAAAGATAGTTCCCTTATCACATAATAATTAAAATACTAAACATACAGAATAAAGAAAGAATATTAAAAGGTGCAAAGAAAAATGACCAAGTAAGATATAAAAGAGATCTCTTAGAATTACACGTGATTTCTCAATGGAGACTCTAAACATCAGAAGGGCATGGACACATGTGCTGCAAACTCTAAAAAGCCACTGATGCCAGCCCAAGTTACTATATCCAGAAAACTTTCAATAATCATAAGCGGAGAAATAAGATATTCCATGATAAGGTTAAATTTAAATAAAATCTATCTAGAAATACAGCACATTAAGAAGGTGCTACAATGAAAACTACAACCTAAGAATGCTAAATACATACATGAACACAGAGGAAATAAAAAATCTCACAGTATCAGAAAAAGCAAAGAAAGGAAAATGCATGCACATACACACACACACACACACACACACACACACACACACACACACACACCACTACCATCTCTACCAACAAAATAACAGATATGTCATTGCTCATTCCTATCTCTAACTATCAATGGCCTTAATTCCCCAATTAAAAAAATAACGGCACACATAGAATGATTAACAGAATGGAAGGGAAAACAAGATCTATCCTTCCACTTCATACAAGAAAACCAGTTCAATGTGAAGGATATACCTAACCTTGAGGTAAAGGGGTGGAAAAAGATATTCCAAGCAAATGGAACTAGAAAGCAAGCTTGTGTAGGTATTTCAATATCTAACAAAATGGACTTCAAACAAAAATTAATAAAAAGAGATGGGGAAGGATATGACATACGCATCAAAAAAAATCCATAAAGAGAACCTTCCAATACTTATATCTATGTCCCAAACATAACAACACCCACAGTTGTTAAGGAAACACTTCTGCAGCTTAAATCACACAATGATGTTCATGAACTCAGAGTGGGAGAGTTCAATATCTCCCTCACCAATGGACAAGTCCTCTAGACAGAAACTAAGAGAAATGCTTGATCTAACTGACATTAACAAATAAACCTAACTGAGTCTACAGAACAATTCACCCAAACACAAAAGAATATACCTTCTTCTCAGCACCTCATAGACTTTTTTCAAAACTCACCAAATATTTGAACACAAAGCAAGTCTAAATGGATAAAAAAAAA